GGCCTGATCCTTGCAGCATTCCACTATTCACAGCATATTGACTTGAAAATGCCTCAGTTGTGTCCACTCTTTGCTTCCTGAGTGTTAAATTAAACTCTGACCTAATACATACACTAAGATTTTACTTTGCCAGTTAACCTTTTGTAAACCACCTTGTCAAATGCCTTTTGAAAATCCAGATGCAAGATATACTATCCAGGTGTTTTCTTTATCCTGCTAGTTACATCCTCAAAAAAAACTAATAAAGTTATTAATCAGGATTGCCCTTTTGGAAGTGGACTGTAGCAGAAGGCAGCTCATCACCACTTTCTTTAGGGCAATAAAAATGTTTTATCAGCCAGTGAAACTTCAGAGGTCAGATACTTTAGAGACTTTTAAGCGACTCTAGAATAGGCACATGGATGCTAGTATAATGTAGGTATGCAGGGTAGTTTGATCTTAGTAGGATAATAGGTCGGCACAGCATCGTGGGCTGAAGGGTCTATACTGTGCTGTACTGTTCTAGGAAGGGTCACCAGACCTGAAATGTTAACTCTGATTTCTCTATACAGATGTTGCCAGATCTTCTTCTGAGCTTTCACAGCAACTTCTGTCTTTGTCTGATCATGCTATGGTTTTCTCAGTGTGTTATTAAGAGTTTTTTCATAAAAGCCTTCACATTTTTTTGACAACTGATGTCAGCAATAGACCATGTGAAATACAGGCATCTGAATCCCTTGACCTTTGATGTAAAGAATTTACATTTCTACATTGCAATATTGACTACAAGTCAGAAGTACTTCATTTGCTGGGATGAACTTTGACATTTTGAGGTCACAAGAGGTGCTATATAAATGCAAAGTTTTATTCTGATAAATGGCCCACAACCTTCCAGCTTTGAAGCAAGAATGGTCCCTACATCTGAGCCATGGTTGCTTCCTTTAGACACCAGACTGATTCTTGGGCAAAGCTGACAACCATTGGACAAATAAAAAATCGGTAAACTTTAATATATTTCAAAATATATCAGATCAGACGTGATTCTTCCTAAGATATTTCTTAACATAAAACTTCTTACGTGATGCAAAGCTGCTCGGGTCCTCCGAAAGAAAAGTGGAAAATGCTGCAAAACAAAAACATTGTCTGACCATCTTGACAAGGTAAATTATCCAGTTTCATTCTGCTTTTTAAACGTGACGTGCACCTTTTATATTTATGAGGTCATAACTGCACGGTGTACCATGAACATCAGAAGTGAAAAGGAAAGCAAACTGCTAGTTTGCAAACTCCCAAACCATCCACAACCTCATCACTTCAGGTGACCTCCCATCAACAGCCTCCAACCTCATGGTTCCCCAACCCCGCACCGCCTGCTTCTATCTCCTTCCCAAAATCCACAAACCTGACTGCCCTGGTTGACCCATTGTCTCTGCCTGCTCCTGCCCCACCGAACTTATCTCTACTTCTCTCGACTCCATTTTCTCCCCCTTGGTCCAGCAACTCCCCACCTACGTCCGTGACACCACCCACGCCCTCCACCTCCTCCAAAATTTCCAATTCCCTGGTCCCCAACACCTCATCTTTACCATGGATGTCCAGTCCCTATACGCCTGCATTCCCCATGCAGGTGGCCTAAAGGCCCTCTGCTTCTTCCTGTCCCGCAGGCCTGATCAGTCCCCCTCCACTGACACCCTCATCCACTTAGCCGAACTTGTCCTCACCCTTAACAACTTCTCGTTCAATTCCTCCCACTTCCTACAGACAAAGGGGGTGGCCATGGGTACCCGCATGCGCCCAAGCTATGCCTGCCTCTTTGTAGGTTAAGTTGGAACAATTTTTCTTCCGTAGCTACACTGGCCCTAAACCCCATCTTGTCCTCCGTTACATCGATAACTGTGTTGGCGCCGCCTCATGCTCCCACGAGGAGCTCGAACAGTTCATCCACTTCACCAACATCATCCACCCCAACCTTAAGTTCACCTGGACCATCTCTGATACCTCTCTCTCCTTCCTGGACCTTTCTGTTTCCATCTCTGGCAACCACCTGGAAACCGATATCCATTTCAAGCCCACCAACTCCTACAGCTACCTAGAATACACTCCTCCCACCCACCTTCCTGCAAAAATGCCATCCCCTATTCCCAATTCCTTCGCCTCCGCCGCATCTGCTCCCAGGATGGGCATACCACTCCCGAACATCTCAGAGATGCCCTCGTTTTTCAAAGACCACAACTTGCCCCCTCTCAGTGGTCGAGAACGCCCTCGACCGTGTCTCCCGCATTTCCCGCAACTCATCCCTCACACCCCCTCCCCGCAATAACAACGAAAACAGAATTCCCCTCATCCTAATGTCCCACTCCACCAACCTCCGGATCCAACGCATCATCCTCCGACACTTCCACCATCTGCAATCCGACCCCACCACCAAAGACATTTTCCCTCCCCACCCTTATCTGCTTTCCAGAGGGACCACTCTCTCCGTGACTCCCTTGTCCGCTCCACAGTCCCCTCCAGCCCCACCACACCCGGCACTTTTCCCTGCAACCGCAGGAAGTGCTACATTTGCCCCTACATCTCCCTCCTCACCCCCATCCCAGGCCCCAAGAAGACCTTCCACATCAAGCAGATGTTCACCTGCACATCTGCTAATGTGGTATACTGCATCTGCTGTTCCCGTTGTGGCCTCCTCTACATCGGGGAAACCAAGCAGAAGCTCGGGGACCGCTTTGCGGAACACCTACGCTCGGTTCGCACTAAATAACTGCACCTCCCAGTCACGAACCATTTCAACTCCCCCTCCCATGCCTTAGACAACATGTCCATCCTGGTCCTCCTGCAGTGCCACAACGATGCCACCCGAAGGTTGCAGGAACAGCAACTCATATTCCGCTTGGGAACCCTGCAGCCCAATGGTATCAATGTGGATTTCACAAGCTTCAAAATCTCCCCTCCCCCTACCGCATTCCAAAATCAGCCCAGCTTGTCCCCGCCTCCCTAACCTGTTCTTCCTCCCACCTATCCCCTCCTCCCACCTCAAGCCCCACCCCCA